CCTGAGAAACAGTCCAGGGAAAAGTGTCAAGTGCTGTTCATTCTTCATATAGTACAGTCAGGACAGGCAGGAGCACAGGAGGTACCCCCCAACCCCACCCAACATTTTACAGGTGAGACATAAAGGGGAGAGGACCCACCACCACCGCCGCCATCCTTCGGGGTGTGTGAAACAGCCAGCTCCCATTCCCAGTCACAGAGCTCGCCTGCTGGGTGGGTCATCGTCTGGACCTGTAACATCTGTGGAAATTATTTCTATGAAGTAAATTGAGCAATCAAGGAGCTCTCAGATTATATGTACTGCCTAAATTTAGGTAGTATCAAAACAAAGATGGTAACTCTTATGTCTAACTTTTTGCAAAAATGCCAGATTGTTTTCCGAAGTAACCACACCTGTTATCTCCCAAAGAGTGTTACTTTTTGATGCTTTGATTTCTGATGCATTTTGAGAGTATTTTTTTCCCTACATGTTGATACCGAAAGTTCTACCATTGTTAGTTAAGCCTGTTCCTTACCGGTAATCCTGACACCTTAGCCAGAAATCCTTCTGTGTGAGATTATTTCTGGACTTTCTACTTTAAAGTGCCATAGTCGAGACCACTGTAGGGTTGTAAGTTTTGAAATCCAGAAGTACGCATCCTGCCACGTTATCCTTTCTTAGGACTGTTTCCGTTGTCTGTGTCCCTTGCATTTCATATGTATTTTAGAATAAGTTTGTCAATTTCTGTAAAGTTGGTGAATCAATAGGAGCTTTTTGAATCTATTTGTCAATGTGAGGAGTATTGCACTTCAGCGATATCAAGTCCGAGCTTTGGATATCTATTTCGTTTTTCATTTTAAAATCCTTTAACAATGTTTTGTAGTTTTCGATGTATAAATCTTGCTCTTTTTTAAAAAAAAAAATTGTATTCCTTTTTCGTGTTGCTGATGTGGTTATATTTCATTTCATTTGAACTGTTTATTAAAGCTAATATACAGATATAGAATTAATTTTTGTGAATTGAACCTGTACCCTTTAACCTTGTTTAATTTATTTACTAGCTGGTCCATGGTGTGTGTGTGTGTGTGTGTGTGTGTGTGTGCGTGTGTGTGTGTGTGTGTGTGTGTGTGTGTATTCCATAGGCAACTCTGCAGAAACAAGAAACACATTCATGGTTGCCAGGAAGGTTGATGGGGAGTGGCTGCTAATTGAGTACAGGGTGCCTTTTTATAATGATGAAAATCTAGGATTAGATAAGTGATGTTGGATGCACAGCTTGGTGAATATTCTAACCACTATTCAGCTGCATACTTAAAGTAGTAACTTTTGTGAAATACAAAGTTTAATTGACATCTAATATTTGTCCTCATTTATGCTAACTCCTGATAACTTGGTTCATGGGTACAATGTGTAATGACAAAATTAAGGTGATTGGTATTTTTGTCTCAAATATTTGTTTTATCCATAGTTTGAGGGTTTTTTTTTTTCTAATATCTAAGGCCATGTCATTAGCAAATATTTCCACTTCTTCCTTTGCAAAATGGATGCCATAGATTCCTTTTCTTAACTAATTTCTCTGGCTAGATCTTCTTACAGTGTTGGTTAGAAATAGCAAGAGTGGATGCACTTGGGGCAGTCACTGACACAGGTCTGAGAGGCAGCAAATAGCAGCTCAAATCCCGAGGGGCCTGCCACCCTCATGGGATACCTGGATGAAGTTGCTGGCTCCTGTTGTGGGCCGGCCCAGTCCTGGCTGTTGTGGGCCGGCCCAGTCCTGGCTGTTGTGGGCCGGCCCAGTCCTGACTGTTGTGGGCCGGCCCAGTCCTGACTGTTGTGGGCACTGAGAAGCAAACCAGCAGATGAAAGACGTATCTCTGTTCTGCCTTTCACGTAAACAAACTTTAAAAAGGAAAAAAGTCAATATCCTTTTCTAGTTTCTGATTTCTGAAAACTTTCAGTCTGTTAGTTTTCGTCTGTTAGTGTTTTTTTTTTAAGATTTATTTTTCTTTGGAAGGAAATTTGCAGAGAGACAAGGAGAGACACAGAGAGAAATCTTCCCTCTATCTGCTGGTTCACTCCCCAAATGGCTGCAGTGGATAAAACTGGCATGGTCGGAAGCCAAGAGCTTGGAGCTTCCTTCGGGTCTCCCATGTGGGTGCAGGGGCACAAAGACTTGGGCCATCTTTCACTGCTTTTCCCAGCACACTAGCAGGGAGCTGGATCAGAAGTGAAACAGCCAGGACTTGGAGCAGCCAGTACCCAAACCAGCACCCATATGGGATGCCAGCACCATAGCGGGAGTCTTAACCTACTATGCCACAGCACTGGCCCCTAACTGTAGGTTTTTATAGCTGCCAAATCCCCCTTTCATCCTAGTTTGTGTTGTGAAAGATGTTGGATTTTGTCAAATGCTTCATTTGCTTCTATGGAGATCATCATGTGATATTTTTCCTTTATTAATTTAGTATAATAACAAGCATAGCAAGTAATACCCACTAATTATTATGTTACTTAACAACACCAAATTCTTGCTTTTAGATTCTCTTTCCATAGTCAGTTTCCCCTGGGGTTTGTTTGACTCGTTTGTTTACAGTAGGAGTTCTAATGAGAGAGGGGACAGATTTTGTTTGCCAAGGACATTGGTAATGTCTGAGGAAACTTTATCACAACTAAAGTATGATACTGACATCTAATAGATATAGAATTGGGGTGCTGCAAAACTTAATTCATTGACACAATCTCCCCTATAAAAAGTTTAGCTCAAAATGTCAAGAGTGTGCCGAAGTTGTTTGTGTTGGCTAGAGGTGGGTTAGTAGGTGTAGGACCTTTGTGGTGAGGCTTAAGGTATCCGGAATGTGATTCCCTAGGCACAACATAATCCTTCAGTAGTCCTGGGTCCCTAATTCCAGCTAGATGTTCTGAATATCGCTGCTACTGATTGTGCAAAGAACAAGATACGTCTGCGCAGATGGTCCGAGGAAACCCATCGCTGCATGTGGGAAAGGCCTCAGCTCAGGTTTCTACTTACTCCAGATCTGGCTGTCCTGTGTGACTAGTTCTCTCAGGGTCGGAATCGGCCTCTACTCTGAGTAGCAGTAGTTTTTGCTTTTCTTCTTAGCTCCCCAATTAACAGTGTGCAAGCTCAGAGTGAATGTTTATAAGTGGCCAAGTTACCCAAATCAAATGTGGTAGTCTGCTGCTGTCTGGAGGTGTTACTGGGGAGGCCAGGTGCTCGCCAGGAACATTGGTGCCCACACCATGCCCTACTGCTTTGGTCCAGTGAGACTAAGAGGCCCAAGGCACTCAAGTACAAGTAAATGCTGATAGAAGAAATTAATTTCTAATAGCATTGTTCTTTGCGGCTGGTTTTCAGGGCATTACGTTTATTGTATATTTCACTATCTTCTTGTGAAATTACTATTAACTTGTCCTTTCTGAGTCACCTGTCATGAAAAATGAGTCATATTTGAAGCATAGCCCTAAAATATTTGTTTGTAAGAACCAATATGTACAGTTCTGATTTTCATATAAAGTGCTTCTCTAAAAATACTAAAAATAGCACCACAGTCAAGCAAAATGTGTATGTTTGAAACTGTAAATCTATGAGTCCTTAAACTTATGGACAAGATTAATTTAGAATTGGGTTATTTGGCTATTCATTTAACTGTGAAAATAAATAAATGAAACATTAGTGAAGGTAACTACTTGGGAAAATTAGCATAAAATAGTCTTATAGTAAGCTGTGCATTTGTATTATGAAGGCATAGTTTGATTAATGTTTTTAATTAAAATTTTTGCCTTCCTAATAAGTAAAATACTTTATAGAGGTGTAGGTCTTTTCATTCGTGGTAGAGTGGTGCTTGGGTGGTTATGTAAGAGCAGGAGTTTTGGGGTCAGATCCAGGTCCAAATTCTGCCACTTAAAGCTGGCTTTGGAATGCTGAATTGGAACGAAGGGCGAATACTGCGCTGTTGGTAATAAGTGAAAGGGAGGAGAGTGGGTTCAGCATTAATCCAAGCCATCCATTCATTTGCAAATAGATGGCAGTGGTCCGGAGCTGCACAGGTGGGGCCTGGACTTGGCATTGGTCGCTGGCTGTGCCTAGGGGCCGCTAGAGACATTGGATAGGATGTGCACTGCCTCAGGTTTCACAGTGAGTTAACAGAGCATTTGATACCTTACTCTGTGAGTCTCCTGTTCTCTTCATCTGTAAAACCATGCAATTATTGGTGACTGGTTATGTAAACATGTTGTAAGAGGTGAGTGAACTAATTGTAAGCTACAGTCCACTGGGCCCAGCATAGGGCAAGCCCACTGTGCGTGAGTGCGTGCCTAGGCTGAGTTGTGTCACATAGCACGTGCGTTATGTCAGATAGAATGTGGTTCTTCTTCAGATCATTTCCTTGGGGTTAAGAACCACCTACTAGATCCCTAGATCCCAGGTCTTAAATACTGGTGAGTTATTCTAGTATTGTGTAACACCTAGCTAATACTAAGTTTAAATAAAGCTAGCGCTAGTTAGTATTAACACTAATAGTGCAAATACTTGGAACAAAGTTTGTTCGAGCATGTTATCCTCTTGGGGCGTGTTGCCTTTATTCTCAGAGCACATTAGAAACTGTAGAAAATGAGCGGGGGCAGTCCCGAGTGGAAACAGACCAGTGTACAGTCTTTACAGTAGTGACAGTACCCCAGGGTAAGGGGCTAATGGCTGACATGAGAAGAAGGATGTTAAAGTACTATACTCAGAGCTTGCAGTGTGATCAGAAACACCCTTTAATGTTTTAGCAAGAATATTCTTAAGAGAAACTGGCATCTTCTTTTTTCACAGCAAATACATGGCCAAGAAGAAAGCAGGTAGCAACGTAGTGCTGCTTCCTTGCTTCCTGGCATGGCACCAGCAGTCTTACCCACCAGTACTTTTATGCGTCGATGCAAATGTGAACACAGTGAGATCATGCTGACTTTTAAAATGTGCTGTTTGCAGTAACCAGACCTCACCTGCTTCCCCTCTGCTGCAGATCCTAATTATCTCATGGCTAACGAACGCATGAACCTGATGAACATGGCCAAGCTGAGCATCAAGGGCTTGATCGAATCAGCTCTGAACCTAGGGAGGACTCTGGACTCTGACTATGCACCCCTTCAGCAGTTCTTCGTGGTGATGGAGCACTGTCTGAAACATGGCTTAAAAGGTAGGCTGTGGCCTTGGAACGCAGACTGCCTCCCAGCAGTACGCACTCCAGAGGAGAGCATTGTTTGTGGAACCCAAGTGTAAGAGGATTGGGTTAATAATAATAACCCCCTGGAATGCTGCCTCTAAGGGGGTGGACTTGTAGCTGATTCAAGGACATGGTAGCTTTAAAAAATGGAGATCATATTATGTTACAGTTGTAAGGGTCATTATAAGTAACCAAATACAAGAGCATAGTTGCATGTGACAGGCGGAAACAGGCCTGCCTGCAGGGACATGCGCAGGGAGTTGGAGCACAGTGGGCCCTGGGTCTCGGGCCTCCTCCCGCAGCTCAGTGCTGCTCCCGCACGTCCCGCACGGCCGCCAAGAGCAGGGTGTGCTCTTGTTCCCTTGAATTTCTTTCTTAAGGCTAGGCCACAAAGTCTTCCTTTTAAAGAGGAAGGATTGAGTGTTGGATGCAGAGAAAAAAAAATTTTTTTTCATGAACTCTTATCTATCCTGACAGCTTGAATAGTTTTAAAAACTAATAACCTGGGATTTTGACAACCTGAAAAACACAGTAAATGAGACATGTGTGTATGTGGATGTGTGTATGCGCATGTGCGTGAGCTGAGGAAGTATTTATGTTATAAAGAACATTAAAATATTTCTTTGTTTTTATTGCCTTAGCTAAAAAAACTTTCCTTGGACAAAATAAGTCCTTCTGGGGACCTCTGGAACTGGTAGAAAAGCTTGTCCCGGAAGCTGCAGAGATAACAGCAAGTGTAAAAGATCTCCCTGGGCTAAAGTAAGTCTTGGTCTGGATTCTTCTTGTTTTTCAGATGTGTCCTTGAAGTGTGACACTAAAGATGAAAGATGTCCACAAGAACTTACTTGATAATAATCCAAAACACATAGTTTTGTGAATAGGCGCTGTTAATGAGAGAACTAGTTGGTCGAATATCAAGAAAAATGTGCCCCATAATGATTCATCTTAGAGAATCTGCCTGGTGGAATACCAAGCATTACTCTTATTTTTTAAGCACTTGTAAATTTGTGGTCTAGGGAGGTGGCATGCCAGGTTTGATGTAGCAAAAGGAAGGTATTTGAGAGCAAAGATCGGAAGCGTTGTCAGGTGAGCATCAGAGCCTGGCCCCTGCAGCCTGCCGGGGAGCTGAGAGGAGTGGGGGCACCTTCCCAAGGAAGAGATTTTAACTTGAACCAGAAAGAAACCTCAGTTGCCTATGTTCTCACATTAGTGTTTGCATGCTTGAACATAAAATCTGTACTGAATTTATGAGGTCTCAGTTGTTTCAGACGCACCGCTGAGTCCAAGGCCCACACAACCTTGGCTAGGACTGAGCTGGGTGAGGTTGTAGGAAGACCTTGTTTGCTTGCTATACTTAAAACCCTTAGTAGCAGTAAGTGTGTTCTGTAGCTCCTGTCTGTCGTGTGTTTAGTTGTTTGGTGTGTGTGTCTTTGTAGGACTCCAGTAGGCAGAGGAAGAGCCTGGCTTCGTTTGGCATTAATGCAAAAGAAACTTTCAGAGTATATGAAAGCGTTGATCAATAAGAAGGAGCTTCTCAGGTATTAATACTGTCTTCCACTTTCTCTCTCCATAGTGTATGTTCAGTGTCATATAAAGTCAGCTAGACCATCCAGCATCTGCTTGCACCTGTTACGTAATTATTGAAGCTTTTGTCTTCAACTTTCCGTCATCATAGATGACCATGTTCAACCATGAAGAATTGGATTTTTGCAGCTGTGTTATAACGGAGAACCTCTGTATTTCTCTTGCAGTGAATTCTATGAACCCAATGCCCTCATGATGGAAGAGGAAGGAGCCATAATTGCGGGTTTGTTGGTGGGTCTGAATGTCATTGATGCCAACTTCTGCATGAAAGGAGAAGACCTGGACTCACAGGTGTGGAAGGAAGCCCCGCTCCCCAGTGCGTCAGGCCAAGCCCATGACTTCAGAATTTTGACTGATTAGTTTTTTATGTGACAAAATTAGAAAAAATTATAATGCACAAATAGTTTTGGCTTCACTTTTGTTGTGAATATTAAAAGTAGCCTGTTCCTTCCAACTTGAATTATGTATGTATTATGAATGATTTTCAAATCCTTCTCTTAACTGTGCTATCACTGTTGGTGGAAAACAGAATTAAAAGGCAAGATAAAAAGATTTTTAAATCCCTTCATATAAAAGCTCATGAAAAATGCATATTTGGAAATAACAGGCAAATATTTAAGAATTTTTGCACCAAATGAACTTCTCTTCTAATTCCATTCCATAAACATTTTGACCGTCATATTCTCATACATGTGGATATTTATATACATCACAGGGACGGCAGTGATGGCTCAAGTACCTGAATTCCCAATACCCACGTGCGAGCCCTGGCAGAGTCCCAGCTCCTGGCTGCGGTCTCCCCAGTCCTGGCTGCAGTCTCCCCAGTCCTGGCTCTCGCAGACATTTGCTCGCTCACTTGCTCGCGCTCTCTCTCTCTGCCTCTCGAATTTCGAATTAATTTGAGAAAGCTGTCTATTTAATAGAAGTGCTGAGAGGAGAAACTGCAGAGGTTTTTGTTTGAAAGAGTTACAGTAAGAAAGTCAGAGAAAGGTCATCTTCCACCTGCTGATCTCACTCTTGAAATAGCTCCAGCACCTGGGAGGCTGTCCGGGCAAATCCAGGAGCCAGGTGTGTCATGTGGGTCTCCCCCGTGGGGGCAGGGGCCATCTGTTGCTGCTTTTGCATATTAGCAAGGAGTTGGTTGCAATTAGAGTTTGGGACCCGACACTGAAGCAGAGTGTTAGCACCACATCCTGCATTGTGGCTTAACCTGTCAGGCCACAGGGATTTAAAAAAATTTTTTTTGAAGATTTATTTATTTATTTTTAATTACAAGGTCAGGTATACAGAGAGGAGAAGAGACAGAAGATCTTTCGTCCATTTATTCACTTCCCAAGTGGCCACAATGGCCTGAGCTGAGCCAATCTGAAGCCGGGAGCCCAGAGCCCGGAGCCTCTTCTGGTCTCCCACATAGGTCCCAAGGCTTTGGGCCATCCTTGACTGCTTTCCCAGGCTGGATGGGAAGTGGGGTTGCCGGGATTAGAATTGTCACCTACATGGGATTCCAATGCGTACAAGCCTAGGACTTTAACCACTAGGCTATCGCTCCAGGCTCACCACAATAGATTTTTAAAGATATATAAACTGAATTATTAAATGTCAGTCCTTAAAAACTTAAGATATCTTCATCAGTGAAGTTTGAAAGAATAGACATAAAAGTACTTGCAGTGTCACTTGGGGTGGCTGAGGTTATGACTGTTGACTGTCTTTTATTTAACTGTTTTTTTTTTGTTTTGTTTTGAACTGCAAACATTTACACAGAAGGCTGTACATTGTTTTTGAAATTAAAAATGTTTGGGCCCAGCTTGATAGCCTAGCGGCTAAAGTCCTCACCTTGAACGCCCAGGATTTCATACAGGCGCCAGTTCTAATCCCAGCAGCTCCACTTCCCATCCAGCTCCTTGCTTGTGGCCTGGGAAAGCAGTTGAGGACGGCCCAAAGCTTTGGGACCCTGCACCCGCGAGGGAGACCTGGAAGAGGCTCCTGGCTCCTGGTTTCAGATCAGCGCAGCACCGGCCATTGCACTCACTTGGGGAGTGAATCCAGATGGAAGTTATTTCTCTATATTTCCTCCCCTCTGTATATTTGCCTTTCCAATACAAATAATAAAATAAATCTTTTAAAAAAAGAAATTAAAAAATTTTAAAGTTATTCCTGATGTTGAGTCAGTAGCAGAGGACCTGAAATAAACCAGATGGGAGAGAAACGTTAGCCTTTTTTGTTAAGGATTCTGTGGGCTGTTGGGAGATGGTCTTCATTAAGATGGCTTCATCTGGATTCTTCTTTCCAACCCTTGCCAATTACTGATTATACTAAAACATTCATTTTCTGTCAAAAAGTTCTGATGACAGTAATGATTATATTATTATTTATGAGTACTTAAATAAATTATGTATGCTCTGGAAAAGGCATCTAATTCTATGTTAATTCTGAACATTCTCTCTGTAGGTTGGCGTTATAGATTTTTCCATGTACCTCAAGGATGGGAGCAGCAGTAAAGGCAGTGAAGGGTAGGTACAAAAAAATTAGATTTCTTTTTTTCTCTGATACAGTCATGTTTTTCTTTGTAGTTAAACTTACAGGAATACTGCTTTAAACAGACTGGCTGTAAGAATTCTGATGATGAGTTTTACTGAATAAATTAATAATTTGTTAATTAACAAGCCCCAAATACTTGAGAGCTGTACAGACTGCTACACTCTGAAAGCTTCCGAGTTGAGTCATTTTCCTGCGGTGTACTTTGGGGACAAACAAAATAAAAAACCTTCAAAAAGGAATCCAGCTCGCCACCTCTTAAAGGTGTGTTTGAAGGCGAGATGTTCTTGAACAGAGGGACTACAGGCTCGTTTTACTTAAGATTTACAATATGAAAGATGTGAATGGCATTATGTTTTTAAAAACGTACTTGGAACTCTTTACAGTAATTCTTTCAAATCCAAGTATTGTGAACGTTTAAAAAACAGTCATGATTTTGCTTGGTAATTAGAGATGAGAAGCACGCCTTCCACGTGGGACTGAGCAGTGTGGAGGGCAGTCAGGTGGCTTTGGTGTTGGTTTTGGTCTTGGCTCCTCCCTGTCTGCTGTTCCCAGCTTCAGCTGTTGAATTTGGATTCTGGCACTTATCCTGGTAGTCATACGAAACAAGACCTTCCCATCCTCACCTAACAGGGCCGACTCTGTTCAGCTTTGCCTGTTACTGCTTTTACTTGGTTTTCGAAGTGACCCTTTTCCACACTGCTGTTGTTCATGTAATGATACATTCATGAATTTTATGCTAGTTTGTTTATATAAGTTGAACATCCTTAATTCAAAAATTTAAATTCTGCACTACTTTAAGAGCTGAGATTTTTTTCAGTACTGACACTGTTGCTCAAAATATTTTGGAGTTTTGAATTTCAGATTTCCAGATTAGGGCTGCTCAGCTGGCAAATTATGTGAAAATATTCCAAAATCTGAACACTGGTGGTGCCAGGCTTTTCACATGAGAAATACTGAACCTAAGCACTCAATGTGAATGTAAACAGCACTTAAGGATGATTGCTCTGTATAGCCTTTGAGAACCACCACTAGCCCGAGTGAGCCTTCCTCGGTTGCCATGACAAATGCAAACTTGTTGCTATGCAATGCCAGTGAAATTGAAAAAGACTACTAGCTTACAAGAAAATGCTTATCCTTTCAATGTCTGTGAGTGCAACATCAGACTTAAAATCTGCAAATTCTTCAGACTTATAAGCTGTAACAAGGACTTAATATGAATTTTTAAAAAAACATTTTTAAACTTCCAAGTCTCTCTAATCGCTGTGCTGAGGGCTCCTGACTTCCGTCTTCTGCTGTAGTGTCTCTGCGCCACAGCTTTCTGCTTCTGTTATAACAATAGATGAGGTTGGTGGGCAGGATCCTGGTATTTCTGATGTTACTTATTTAATTTCCATTTTCTTTCTTTTTCCTCTAGAGATGGCCAGATTACTGCAATTCTAGACCAGAAGAACTATGTAGAAGAACTCAACAGACATTTAAAGTAATGGATGAATAATCTTACTTTCCTAGGGATTTATTTATTGAGGGGGGAGGAACGGGTTAAAACAGCAAGCACAAAGTGCTCACCAAGTCCGCGCTGAAGTCCTGCACTGGCTTGGCCAGGGGTCATCTCATTCAGCCCTCCTGGGGGCCCTCAGTGCTTGGTGAAAGACAATTGCAGATTAGTGTTTACTTATTACTCTAGTGAGTAGGTAAATACATGCAGTTCAGAATCCTAAAATACCTTTCTCAAACAAAATAAAAATAAATTATAAAAATACCCAACAGTTGAAATCAGTAGTTCTCTTGGTCCTACTGTGTTAGGACTGGTTAGGTCAACCACTCATTCCCTTAGCACTTGTAGATGAATCAGATCTCTTTCTTTCCTTGTAGTTCTCATTTTTACATTGGGTTCTCTCTCATTTATTGTTCTGTTATGAATGATAGCCATTTTTAATTTAAGACCCATAGTACGGTTATCTAACATCAGTATACATTTGGGGTGGTCTTGGTTCCAGCTAACATATTCAGGGTGATTTCAGTACCCTTCTCAGGGGGCCAAGAGCTGATGCAGACTGTCATGAGCTATGGGGATCTGAGCAGCAGGTTGCTTACTCTCACCAAGCCCTGGTTTGTTCATCTGTGACCAGGACTATCTAACATGTGGGAGTGTTGAAATGAGTAACTGAAATAATGCAAACAAAATTATTCAGAAAAGTTTTTGGTGCACATAAACACTTAATTCTTATAGCCTGTTATTGTCAAATATAGATTCACCTCAAAAGTTATTATGCATGGCAGTAGGTCTTTTATTTCACTGAACTACTACTAAATACAAACTCCAGTGCCCAAGAAAGAAGCAGTTGAGGGAGACACAGCCCTTTGCTGTGTGTTGGAGCCTGGGAGTCTGTCAGGAATCACAGACCTCAGACAAAAAGGGATGAGTGCAGTGGGTATCCGGAAAGAGAAGTACAGGCTATGTTTCATTTTTGAAAGGAGACCATGGTGTTTTTTCTTCTCTTGATAGCGCTACTGTAAACAACCTTCAGGCAAAAGTTGATGCCTTAGAAAAATCCAACACTAAGCTGACAGAGGAGGTAAGTGCTTTGGGCCTTTTGCCCTGTAAAGTTTGTCTGTTGTGCCTTAGGGAACCAGTGGTCTCTGTGTAACTTCAGGATGATGAACTTGACCTCTCAGATAACGCCTACTGTGGTGCGTAGCCCCTTTTTCTGACCAGAGGAGGAGGTGCACTTCTCACAGATGTGTGCTTTTCCCAGTGTGACCACATGGGCGTGTTTCCTGGTTGATCGAGTGTCTTGGTTTCTTTTGTGTGAGTGTCTGTGTTAACCTGGAGCACACGGTTAATATCTAGCATGCTATTCCTCATTTATTCACTCAGTACATACAGTGGACATGGTTCATGTGGAGAGCTAGACAGACTCGTGGATTTCTGTGCTGCAGATCGCAGGCTCCCACTCCCAGGTCAGAAGACCAGTAATCCTGCTCCCATGTCATGTGCTAAGTCAGGCACTTGACCTTGGCAGGCCCAGTTCCTTCACGGCTGAGCAAGCGTGTTTACTTCCCCTTTCAACCTCACAGTTACTCTGAAGATCCGATCCAAATGAATATGTGAAAAGGCCCCAAAATAAAAACAGCCTGGTAAAAAATCGCTTCATGATTAATAAAGATCCCCTCCCCCACTTGGCAAAGTCTAACCTACAGATTTCTTTGATCAGACATTTCTGCTGTGAAATCTGAAGGGGCTGACAGAGTGGCATAGCACACTGATCCTTCACCTGCAAGCGCATCCCATTCAGTTTGCGTCCTGGATGCTGCACTTGCAGTCCAGCTCTCTGCTCTGCGCTGGGAGAGCACCAAAGGATGGCTCACATCGCTGGGCCCCAGCAACCCGCATGGGAAACCTGGAGGGAGCTCCTGGCTTCAGATCACGTCATCGCGCTCCTCTGGGGAGTGACTCGAAAGACAAACATTTCTTTGTCTCTCTTTTCCTCTGCAAAATTCTGCCTTTCAAATAAAAATAAATAAATCTTTTTTAAAAGAAATAGTCTTAAAATTACCCAGGCAACAAGGCATTTCTCTTATTTCCAGTTATATGCAGTGAGATGCATTTGATTAGCATAATATCAAATGAAAGCACTGCTTAGGGAGCTACTGTTTACTGATTTTTTTCTCTTCAGAATGAAATTTTCATTATTTTACCCTCACAACATAATCTTTTTAGATGGTGACACTGAAAAAAAACCTCTGCAGTGCTTAATTGGGACTTTAAGAGTGGGAGCTTTGAGTCTGTTTCTTTAATCTGTTTAAACCATTTGTAACTGCTTTTATGAAGCATTTATAATGCGATTCCCTTTGCATGAGATCGTCTCTTTACCAAGCATTTCCAGAAATATATATAAATTCTTATTAAATATAATTACTACAAGATACTCAGAATGTCCTTGAATTAAAAGTATTTTCAAAACAGTAATAAGAGTTATTGCTTGATTTTTTTTTTAAGCCTGCTCTGAAAGAATTTCTTCTAAGTCCCCTGCAAGAACGTTTTTAAAGTTATTTATTTATTTATTTATTTGAGTGACAGGGAGCTCCCATCTTGTTTTACTTCCCTAATGTTCTGTGTAACAGCAGGGTCTGACCTACGGCTGACCCTGGCAGGCAGGATCTAATCCGGGTCTCCTGTGTGAGTGTTTGAGCAGGCACCTGCTGCTCCCAGGAGCTATACAAACAAGAGTCTGGAATTAGGAGCACATGGGACTTGACTCCAGGTATTCAGATGGCAAGTGTCCCGGCTGGCATCTTAACCACCAGCACAGAGCATTTTATTAAGTTAAAAGTGTTTTCCAGACCCGGCATGATAGCCTAGTGGCTAAATGCTTATCTTATATGCACCAGGATCCTATATGAGTGTAGTTTATATCCTGGCTGCTCCACTTCCCATCCAGCTCCCTGCTTGGCCTGGGAAAGCAGTCAAGGATGGTCCAAAGAGACCCTGCTGAGATCCTGCACCCTCAGAGGAGACTCAGAAGAAGCGCCTGGCTCCTGACTTTGGATTAGCTCAGTTCCAACCATTGCAACAACTTGGGAAGTGAATTAGCAGATGGAAGATCTTTCTTTCTGTCTCTCCATTCTGTAGATCCACCTTTCCAATAAAAATAAATATTTCTTTTAAAAGAAAAAGACAGGGCCCGGCGGCGTGGCCTAGCGGCTAAAGTCCTCGCCTTTAACACACTGGGATTCCATATGTGTGCCGGTTCTAACCCCGGCAGCCCCGCTTTCCATCCAGCTCCCTGCTTGTGGCTTGGGAGAGCAGTTGAGGACGACCTAAAGCTTTGAGACCCTGCACCCCGTGTGGGATACCCAGAAGAAGTTCCTGGATCCTGGTTTCAGATCGGCATAGCATCGGCTGTTGCACTCACTTGGGGAGTGAATCATCGGATGGAGGATTTCTCTCTGTCTCTTCTCCTCTCTGTATATCTGACTTTCAAATAAATAAATACATCTTTAAAAAAAAAAAGAAAAAAACAGTTTTTCTTATTTTTAAGAGTACTGAAACCTCAAAATGTCCGAACACATCATGAGTTTATGCTGTATTAAGAAAAAATATATGATTCTCTTTAAAATTTCTTCTACAGCTCGCAGTTGCAAACAACAGGATTATTACTTTACAAGAAGAAATGGAACGAGTCAAAGAGGAAAGCTCCTACATACTGGAATCCAATCGGAAGGTTAGCCTCCCCGGACCCACAGAACGTTCAGAGGGCGCATGCGGCGGTGTTACCCGTAGGAGCAGATGCTCACATGTAGCAGGCAGCCTTCCTGTGCTGTGCAGAGCTGAGTGCACAGCAGCCGTTATGAGTGGGCTGTGTCCCTGCTGCACCATGGCTCCTGCCTTCACGGCCACCCACATCTGTTTAAAAACTTTTTTTAATTGTTGTACTTGTTATATTTGAGTATAGCACTTTCTGTATAGTGTGTAAATTTTATAAGAAGTGACACCTCATTTGCCTGATAGCTTTGGTAAAAAGTGCATTTTCAAGGGCACATTTTGTGTGTGTGTGTTTTAATGAAGTTTTGCAAATCTTATTTTTATTACACAATTCTAAGGCTTCTTACTTGGCGGACTTGATTAAGCACATTTAGCCCTTTTTGCTAACTGATGATCACCATTATCAACATAGGCAATTCTGTAATAAATTGTGAAGATGCTCTGTTGGGGAACTATGAGACTGATAGAGCGTCAGCGTCTTTCTAATCTGTTCTAACCTAGGAATGCGTATGTTCCTAAAGAGCAGAACGCTCTGAGCAGGGCCTGGGGCAGTTCTCTCTGTGCGTGGTCCATGAAACACGTGTTACTGCTCAGCAGGTTTTGTTTATTTGTATGTTTGGTTGGGTTTTTTTTTCCATTTTTTTCTTTATCTTTGACAATCTTTACACAGTTAATTATGGCACAAAGGCTCAAGGGCTACAGGAAAGTGGGTAAGACTACTATTTCCACATTGTTTTTTTCCTGAATCTGGGGTAAAGGGGGAGATAAAGGGAGAAGCCCCACCCAGTCTCCCACCCATCCCAGGTCCCTGATGTGGGGCATGCTCCAAGGGTCTTGCTCAAGTGGTTTTGATAGGTCAACAATTCTGAATTGCCAGCAGTTTTTTGATGCTTACTGATTTCCAGCTGTGATATCCTTCGGCAGTTGAGGACACTAGATGGGAGTTTTCTGAGAATTAATGTGTTTCCATGTAAACTGTTGGTCCAACTCATATTTTGCATTGAATACTGTGATTTTTTGAGGCTAATGTTTCAACCACCTGGTTTGATTTGAAATAAAGTAGTAGGAAATTGCCTATTAAGGTCTTTTCAAATTTGCCAGACCCCTTCAGTCGCTTGGTCATGTTTCCACAATGTTAAGCCTGCATGGGTGGGGTGTCTTCCCTGTTGAATAGCCATGCCAGTGTGCTCTATCCAGATTGTTTAAATCCTTAAATTTGTGCTACGTGTTTCTTTAAGGGTCCTAAACAAGACAGAACTTCAGAAGGGCAAGCACTAAGTGAAGCCAGAAAGCATTTGAAGGAGGAGACACAGTTACGACTGGTAAGCTCTGCTTAGGCTGTGATGGGTCCAGGGCTGATACTATCACCCCGTGGGTTAAGTTTCTGACTGCAGTGCTGGCCTTCCATAGAGGTGCCAGTTCATGTCTCAGCTGCTCCATCTCTGATGCAGCTTCCTGCTAATGTGCCTGAAAGACAGCAGAGCATGGTGCAAACACTTGGGCCACTGATCCCCACATGGGAGACCCCCACAGGTTTCCAGGCTCCTGGCTTCGGACTGACTCAGCCCCAGCCGTTGCAGCCATTTGAGGGATGACCCAGCAGATGATAGTCTCTCTCTCTCTCTTCCCTCAACCTATATGTAAATCTGCCTATAAAAAAGTTAAAAAAAAAATTAAAAAGTTTTAAATTTTTGAAAAGAATTTTGATAGTTCAAGAACATATTAAAAGGTTTTACAGGGGAATACCATGATCACACATGAGTATGTGCATCATATAAAATAAGGGAAAAAATTAAAAATAGTAGTCCAAACAGAGGGTACCCTTGACAGTGCCAACATCCCATCTGGCTCAGGTCCTGGCTAGTGTACCTCCCACCCAGATCTCCGCTGGTGCACCTGGGACAGCAGCAGAGTGACCCAAGAGCTCGAGTCCCTGTACCCGTGTGGGAAACCTGGATGAAGCCCCTGGCTCCTGGAGTGGACCTGACCCATCTCCAGCAGTTCCATTCACTTGGGGAGTGAAGCAGTGGCTGGGAAAGCTCTCTCTCTCTCTGTCTCTGCCCCTCCATCTGTGGTGCTGCATTTCACTTAATTTTTAAAATAAGGATGATGATCCAAACCAAAGGGGGTTCCTTGTCAAGTGAGCCTCAAGTTCAGTTAATTGTGTTGACTGTGCTATCCTGGGGACCCAGAGCACCTTCTGGTTTCCTTGGGCGCATGACTGTATCAATAACATACACATTTAGAAAAGCTGTAACTGCCTCATTTCACGCTGGCTGCCGTAGCACTGCGTGTTGGTCGTGTAGAGGACATGGCATCTGTGGTCTTTATGCCTAATGAGGTACGAATGAGTATGTGCATGTTACGTGCGGTGTCTTTGGCCCAGCAAGTTTACTTTCATACACTATTGAATACATGGTTACTGTAATTATCCTGTGATTCTAACCATTATTGTCTCTGTAGGCAAACGATAGCTTTAGCTATTCTGCTAAAATATTCAGACCTATGGGTCTTCATCTTCCTTTTCCTCTAAGCTGTTAAGAGTTGTACCTAATCATAGAAAGGGAATAAGGCATTTATTTGCTCTTGGGGACAGGATGTGGAAAAAGAACTGGAGCTGCAGATCAGCATGAGGCAGGAGATGGAGCTGGCCATGAAAATGCTGGAGAAGGATGTGTGCGAGAAGCAGGACGCCCTGGTGTCCCTGCGGCAGCAACTGGACGACCTCAGGGCCCTCAAGCACGAACTTGCCTTCAAGCTACAGGTACGGGAGGCAGGGAGCAGGGCCTCCCCATCTCTGCCGTGCCGCACCACCTTGTCCTCTGCATGCACACTGGCACACTTCAGGAACATCACATTTCAAATCAGCTGCCAGTAAACCACTGTAAGAACCAGACTGTCCAAGGACCCGCGTACCGCTCTGCAAAGCCACAGCCACTTTTTACATGCAGTGGGCGTGCAAGTCTTTCCTGTCCTATGAGATAGGCTCCATACAACAGCCTAATGTATCAGATAAATGGGTGCACCTTCTGGTACTGAGCGAGGGCCATGTAAAACTATTCATTTTAATTGATTTTTTTCTTTTTGTTTTTAATAATCAGTTGATAAGCATATGAACATTTTTATTTATTTATCTTGCATTCAAAAGGCATGTACAATTAAATCTTGGTATTAAATATGTGGGGACCAGCAAGTTAAGTCACCAGCTGAGGTGCCAATATGCATATGAGTACTGGCTCAGATCCCAGCTGCTCCACTGTCAGTCCAGCTCCCTGCTGATGTGCCTGGGAAAACAGTAGAAGATGACCCAAGTGCTTGGGCCCCTGTTACTCACATGGGAGACCTGGGTGGCACACCACGCTTCGGCCTGGCCCAGCACTGGCCATTGCAGCCATTTGGGGAGTGGACTGGTAGCTTGAATCTTGATAGATAGATAGATAGATAGATAGATAGATACTTTATCTCGATCAAGCTGTTTTTCTGTAATTCTATAATGCTGTATTTTAAATAATCAACATAAAAAAGTTTTAAAAGGATTATATGTTACATAAATTGCTTCTTATTCTTTTCCATAACAGAGTTCAGACTTAGGGGTAAAACAGAAAAGTGAATTAAACAGTCGCTTAGAAGAGAAGACTAATCAGATGGCAGCCACCATCAAACAACTCGAACAAAGGTAAAAGTGCTGTTCTTTTCATACAACACTTTGTGCAGTCAGTACTGGAAGTGGAGAAAATGTGCGTTGCATTTGGCAGCTAGAAGTGTATGGACTTCTTCCAGTTAGCATCAGATGCAGTGGTAGAACAGAGCCAGTTAGAGTTCGTTTGTGTTTTCTAAGTTTTAAGTAACAGCAACCTTTCGTTGTTGCTTTGAGTGTGGGAGCTCTTAATGCATTTCATGGTTGTTGTAAGAAGACAGAGCCCCAGATAAAAGCATATCCTTTGTAATTTTGTGATTCCATTGTGCATCAGTAAAGTCTTTGAGTATTTTGATGCCAGGTGAGGTTGGAATACTGAGAGAGCCATCCACCATAGTTCTGTTCTGGATCTTTCCCTCTTCAGCTTCACCCCTCTGTTCTACGCTCACAGCTGCCTCCTCTTTCTACCTTCTCCTGCACACTCCTGTAGCTTGCCTGTCTCCTCCAGTGTAGCTCTCCATCTGGAGACCAGTCTTGAGTTTTTCTAACAGCAGTGCCTACAATCCCATCTGCCTATCACACATCTTCTCCCTGTGCCACTCTCATCCCTACCTTTCTAAGAGGACTTTTTGGTTCCTGTTGACTCAGAACCAAGTGAAATGGCTGATGGAGTGTGACATTGGCACTCCCCATGGTGATTCGGTGTTTGCACCTTTAACCTCACTCATTATCCTTCTTGTATTTGATCAAAGTAAAACTGCTGGCCATTGTCCTTCTATTCTCTTCCTCCCCGCCCCCCCGCCCCCTTGCTCTTCAGTTACTTTTGTTGGATTCACACCCAGCTGCCACGCTTCCTCTCATGGCCCTTCCCCTCTAGAAATGGTCATTCCTCTTGAAGTTTCCGTGGCCCTACATCCTTATCATCCACACTTCTTACAGCACTTCTCACTGCCCACTATCTTGTAGCTCTTTTTAATCTGTGTCTTTTTTACTTACTTTTATTTTCATTTTATGATATATTTCCATAGGCCCTGGGATTTTCCTTACCTTGTCCCCATGTTCCCTCCCCCCTCATTGAGTTCCCCTATATTATTATAGTATAGTTCTTCATAAATAGTCAAATGTCCATCATTGGGGGCATGGACAATGGCAGAGAGTCCAGCATCCTATTGTCAAGATACAGTAAACGGTTTCATTGGGAGTTCATCTTTGTCTGGAATTAGAGATGCATTCTGCATTGTATTCTCACATCTGGATATGATATGATAGTCTCCATTACACAGTTACTATGTATCCCCTTAAATGAAAAGCCACAATACAAAATCAACAACAGGAAGAAAAATAGAAATTTACAATGCCATGAAATTAAATAACATGCTACTGGATATGATAGTCTCCATTACACAGTTACAATACATGTAATCTGTACCTGACCTTCCAATGAAACTGTAACATTTCTTCAGATTAGTTGACTCACCTGTTATGTTCTCTCACTAGATCTCTCACAATGCCTTGAATAAATAAGACATCCATTCCATGGATATATGAATGGATGACTTCTTTTATTCAGATTATTCTTAACCAGAGAGAGTCCTGAACAGCAATGCATGTTAACTCAAAAGTTAATTGCAAATTAATAATTAAGCTTTACTAGCATGTGGCCAATAGAAAGCTATCAGTTCACTTCTGAAAGTTTATATAAGTATTTTTTTATATGCTGTTTCGTGTTTGTGATTTAATAAATTCATTTTAATATTCTTAAATAGTGTTTGGAATGTACAGATTACTTTTCAGTGATTTTGATTTGGCATTTAAAGCAGATAGAACTGAAATGATGATTTACCTCTTTGAGTACTGAGCTGACTTATTATTTTACTATTTTTCTGTTTCCTGCTTATCTGTTTTCTCATCCCCCTTTCACTCCATTCTCATTTTGGTTTTGCTTAGTGAAAAGGATTTGGTGAAACAGGCAAAGACCTTAAATAGTGCAGCAAATAAACTGATCCCAAAGCACCACTAGGAGTTTTGCGGTTGGTCACCTCACAAGTCTGCTGTCACAACTGTAACAGGAAGATACTGGAAAGTTACTGTGTTTTAAACTCTGATCCTATTACGAAATGTTATCCAAAGTTGACTTTGAATTTGTTAGACTTTAAAGAAAATAGGTTGAATATATAGGTTGGATTTCTTTTTTTATTTTCTCCCCAGAGTTAGAAAATTTGGTATAGCTTCCTAATTAAGTGTCACATAAAACTTTCAACAATTGTGAATTAACCAATAAATGAAATACCACTAAAGCAAAAGCCTAGGGAGTCGGAGCTCCGTACACTTATGAGGGATGCCTTTACAGCCCAGTCCTTGATGATGTCAGATTGTTGGTGCATTGTTCATGTGTGTGTCAGCGGGCCTGTGCTGCCACTGCCGTGGCATGAACCAGGGGTGACTACCCTGTGAACCTGACTCTTCTCACGTCCTTCTGTGTTTAACGCCATGATCCCTTTTCAGTTTTGTTGTATAGATTTCATCCCCAAGCCTGAGGATAAATACTTAAGTATTTCACTATAGCCCTACTCTCAATAACCAAGATTGCTTGCAGGGGTTTGGTTTTTTGTTGTGGTTTTTGTTTTTTGTTTTTTGTTTTTGTTTTGTTTTTGTTTTTTTTTCTGGTTTTTGTTTTGCCTTAGTGACTTGGGGGAGAAAAAAACCAGCATCCTTAGATTTCTTTGAAGTCCACAGAGATAAAGTTAGGAATTAGGTAACAGAACAATGTGATGTGGAAGCTTGGGAAAAACCCTCCAATATTGGCCATCTTCACCTATGCCTTTTTTTTTTTAATTTTGCAATCTGTTTTCTATTTAGATAACTAGAGAGAAAAATTTTAATGAAAGAAACTCCTCTCTCCTATAAAAAATTTAAAACTCTATACATTTTTGAGAACTATTGTGCTTTTCTTACTGGAATAAGAAGGACAAGGTGCATGCACAAGTAAGGATTTCCTCTGTCATTCTTCACCTGCAGAAGTTTTTGTTCAAATGGAGATTTGCTAACAGGTCTGGGAAGCTAATCATTTACTTGTTTTTTTTTTTTTGAAATTTCAAATGGGAAGTAAATAAATGATAAACTCATTCTTTATTGGTATTGAGTAAACATTCCCAGTATATAACCACAAACAATATTAGAAGACCTTCTTTTCTAAGCAATCATGTATCTGACCTTCTTCCGTGTTATATTGTAAATAACCCTATAAATGTTTTTTTTCTTTTTTAATGGCTTGAATGGGGAGACAGGCTTTACATAGACAAGATCTTCAAAAGATCTTGGCATAATATTTTGGTTTCTTTTTTCTTCTGTTGCCTGATCTGGTGGGTTTTACCACATTGCAGTTACGTTGGTGGGGACAAAGGCAACCCCTTTGCTTCCAATTTTTGGAATTCCTTACCTTCTTGGAAAAATTAAAATTAAGAGTAAGATTTCCTGTGTGCTTCCATAGGTTCTTGCACAGCCTTGAATCCAAATCACATCCAGATGAGCTTCCTGGAAGATGGTGTGCTCTGGAACTTAACTTTAGTTCTTAAGATTTTACACCTTTTCATACGCAGCTCCTACTTTGTTCCTACCTTCAGCAGCTGTTTGCGATGAGATGTGAAAGGAAAGATCCAACTCCAAAATAAAACTACTTAAACGACTACGCACAGCATGCTTCTAAATACTACTATGTAAACCCCCCCTTTTTATTTTTTACCTGCTAAAACCCTGATTCTTTGTAGGTGCAAAGTTGTAAAACTCTTGGGAGAAAATGTCCATCAGAATCTTCCTGAGAATACGGTCAGGAGTCTCCCTAAGGCCCAGTGCCGGGGCAATTAGTCACACACCACAAGGCAGGAATGGAAAAGGAGAGACAGCCAAACACTTGGCAGAGGCTTTTCCTTGCACAGTAGCCAGATGGAGCCTGGAGGAGGGTTGATGTATCATGTCCTGTGAGCTAATAGTAAGTGTGGTTTAAGGAAAGGACCAGCAAAAATGTTGCAGTTCCACATACAAGGTAGCTGCCCATTTGCAAATTCCAGTTAATGTGTACAAAACAGAAATATAAAGTATCAAACCTATTAGGACATAAGAGCAAGCAAGTGGATTTGACTTAAATTTCTGTGTATTTAAGGTTGGCTTTGGATATGGATTTTCTAAAACGTGATATTTATCGTTTGTCATCTAATGGCTGTAAACTGTAGTACTAGAATAAAAAAAAAAGTGCAAAATCAGCTTTTCCTCTGCCTGGTTCACCATCATCTTGTGTTTCTTTAGAATGTGTTCCTTCTCCATCTTTTCCCCCCATAATTTCTTCCCCTGTGTCCTGCGCTTCCCCCTCCTCTGTCTCTCCATGCTGTCTCCCTGGGTTGTTTTATTTTGTGTTGTGAACTCGGTCTTCCTCCCCACCATGGTTTTGTTTTTTATCACAAGTTCATGTGGCTCACATCCAGATTGCGCCAGGCTGAGCGAGGCCGCCAGTCGGCAGAGTTGGACAACCGGCTCTTCAAACAGGACTTCGGAGACAAGATCAACACTCTGCAGCTGCAAGTGGAGGCGCTCACCAGGCAGCGGTGAAGAGGGGGCAGCTAGAGCTGGCGGGGGTTCCCAGGCAGCTGCAGGCCAGATGGGAGGAGGGCGGGGACCTCAGCTCTGGCTTTGCAGTGTCCTTCCTCTGCAGCTGGGACTCAGAAAGCTGCTCACACATCAGATTCCCCTAATCTGTCAGCCTGCTTGTTGGAGCCCATGGTCCAGAACAGTAACAAATAGCCAAGATGATCCTCGGTGTGATCGTTAGAGTTTTCTGAGCTCTGTGTGCCAGCTACTTTATAGATAGCTCGCATGAACTCCCTCATATCTTCACCCTTTATGTAGGCAACAATATTACCCCTGCTTTCAGGTGAAATAAAAGCTAGGAGAGGAGTTAAGAGTGTCCCATTCACACAGATAGTAAGTGCCAGCAGGATCATTTGGAGCCCGGTCTGAGTCCCAGCCCTTAAGCACTCTCTGTACCCTCTGACACTCAGCTTCTGTGTGGAAGCCACTGAATTTGAACACGGAGTGCGTGGCTGAATATAAGGCACTGAACTCCAGGAGCAATGTGATGATGAGAGTGTGAGCAGGACTTAAGGAGACAGCTATAAATAAGAGGCCATCACAGTGACAGCAGAAGTAACTGTGTTCAGACTTTCGTCTGTCTTCTGATGTTAGCACATGTAGCATTAATAACTGTCATTTAGTTGATCACAGCTCTTCACTTGGAGTTCGTCCAACATCCTGGTACTCTGCGCTGGCCCTCAGAGTGACTGGGAGAGCCCTAAAGACCATTGTTCACCATCTAAGGAAGACTGCAATTTAGTCCTGTATCTTGGGAGTCATTGACTACATTTTCTGTTATCTTAAAGCTTGCTTGGCCACTTTTGATGAAGTATAAAATTTGAACGATTGAACTTTGGGTACAGAGTTTGGCATCCTTTAAGAGAATATGAATGTAGAAATCCAAGTTTTCATCCTTTCCTCTCCTACCCACCCCAGGAACCAGCTCGAGTCAGAACTAAAACAGGAAAGAGAAAGACGACTACAAAGCAGCAGGAACACCCAGGGAGGGGCTTCCCAGAAACTGGACCCCAAAATGGTAATTAGGACCCCTCAGTCCCTTGTCCGCTTCCCGAAGTGCACGTTGATGTTGAAGGCGACCTTGCTGGGCCTGCCAGTTCTCATTCATTGCTCATATCCTGGATTGAGTTTGGCCTGTAGGTTGTACACAGCAAACTGAGAGATGAAGTGAGTAGAAGAAAGCTGGATTCTGGATCTATCTAGAACATTGTCCTGCCTAACTTCACTTGGAAGTGAAATTCTAAGTCATAATTTTCAGTGACTCTCTTTTTCCTTTCAATTTTAAAACTAAAGTTATAGTGCTATCTTAACAAAAATATATCTGGAAATCTGCTGGCTGATAGTTTTAATACTATGAATTGGATGGTTTTAAGAATATGGATTTCTTAAATGTGAGTTTGTCTCTGTGTGTACCATCCTCAGTTATTGGCGTCTCAGTTGAGAATGGTCAGAATCTTCTCCTGGAGATAGTTAGAAAACAGCCCTCAGGATGAAAAAGCAATTAATGCAGAGTGGTTTAAAATGCACAAGTGGACATTACTACGACGTGGCTTTGGAAGGGGAGGGTCTCCAGCACCTCTAGTGATGTGGACTAAAATAGCGTCTCGTTATTGCCAGGAACCAGCTTCTTCAAGTAGTGAAACCAGAAAAACTTGACCTATTGTTGTCATCAAACACAAACAGCAGTGACAAAATTGCCTCCTGTGTTTACATATTATATCGAAAAAGGCAAAACAAAAAAAAAAATAGAGATTTATTTCTATTTCAAAGACAGAGTTATAGAAGGTGAAGGAGAGACAGGCAGAGAGCTTCCGTCCTCTTGTTCACTCCCCAAATGGCTGCAATGACCAGAGCTGGGCTAGTCCAAAGCCAGGAGCTTCTTCCAAGTTACATGGGTACAAGGGCCCAAGGACCTTCCCAGGGCATAAGGAGGGAGCTGGAACACATGGAGGATCCATGACACAAACCTACGTCCCCATGGAATGCTGGCCCCGCAGACGAAGGCCTAGGCTCCTATACTGTGGCACTGGCCCCCAGATCGGACAAAGTACAAGCTTCTTACTTAAGAGTTTGTATAGTGTGCTACTGATTTTTGAACTAGAAACTAGAAAAGAATGGAAAGTGAAATTTATTATGCAGCATTCACTACTAATAAAACGTACAGAGAACCACTCCAGCATTCCCTCTATAATTTTTGTATAGCAAGCATGAAGTCTAAATGGTGCATGTATTGATTGATTTTAGAACATCTCATTTCCTGCTCTTCTTTCCATGAGAGTTCGGTCTGAATCTCCAGTTGCCTAGCAGTGCACTTCCCAGGAAGGTAAAATACATTGACCTCCCTCCTTTCCACATTTGGAAGCAGACAGCAGGCGGGAGAGTGCACGGAAACAGTCTATTCTGAGCCCAGCACTGCAGTGCGTTATGCTGCCTCCTTCATCACTGACATCCCACGTGAGCCTGGGTTCAACTCGTGGCTGCTCTGCTTCCAATCCAGCTCCCTGGTAATGCACCCAGGAAAGCACCAAAGGATGACCCAAGAGCTGGGCTCCTGCCACCCAGGGGAGCGATCCAGATGCAATTCTTTACTGCTGGCTTCTGCCTGACCCAGCCCTGGGCGTTGCAGCCATCTGGGGAGGGAACCTCTGTGTGACTCTTTCTAATAAGTAAGTAAATATTTTTTAAATAGTTATAATAATTTCTTGCTAAAAGCTAATCCAGACAGGACTTCAGAACATTGGGGAAAAGGTAGTTTGGAACTCGCGAGTAGCTTCGCTGAGCTGCACGGGTTGTGGGAGCTGCATTGGCGCCGAGGCTCCCGCTTGTGCAGAGGGTCCCACGGGCTCCCGGGGGCAACCTGACTTGGCTTTAGCAGCTCCTCAGGGCTGAGTCAGAGAGAGGAGAATCCCATTTGCCCTGAGAGCTGCAGTCTTGAGGATGCATTCTGGATTTTATTTGAATCTCTGGAATTAAGGAAAAGATCATTTGTTGCAAACTATTCAGATAGTTAGGAAACTACTTTGAGCAGAGAAGAAAATGCATTTGAAAGTCAGATCCCTCTCCCAATTGAAAAGCTCCATAGTTTTACGAAATGTCAGCATTGCAGAGGGGAGAAAATTACGGTATCATTTAATATTTGAATAACTGATACTTTGAACCTTATTTTGTTTGTTTTTCTTTTTTGCCAGGATGGAAAGCATAGAATCCAACAGGAAAATGTTGAACTAAAAAAGCCTGCGGAAGAAAGCCACAGGTATTTGTTAATTCAGTACTTACTAGGATATATAAAGTTGTTTGGGGGAAGCAGGAACGAGGGTGCTTTCGATGTATGCTGGCGCTGGCAAAGGCCAGAGACTGACTCGTACTAGTCATTGGACAGAAAGGCATTTTGAAGAGTAAGTGAATAAATGATCAGTGAGCTTGTGCTATTGGATCAGACACATTAGACCACTTCAGCAGGAAGCAGAATAACCCAGGTACCCTCTGAACTTCACCTGATTATTCCCCAAACATAAATAACCACTTAAAACAATATTCCTCATTTTTTCTGAACGAGTTGTCCCAGAAGGAAGGATCCTACGTCCTGGGTTTCTTAGGTTCTGCAGTGCCTGAGTATGTTACACATTTATTGAGTTTTGAGTTTCACCTGCAGTTGCCTTGGCAGGGCCAGACCAAATGATTTCAGGGACTTACATGGCCCATGGGCAGAAGTTCCCATCCCTGTAAGGGGATCAAACAGCTTAACGTCATTCCTTTTTGTGACTCTTCATCTAATTGGCTTTTTAAAAAGAATGTAAGATTGTCTCAAGGAAGCTGGCTTTTTGGTTTATTTTAAAGGTTAGAAATAAATTGTACTATTATGCTAGAGCATTAAAAAATGAAGGGTATCTGTGGTGGCGTTGGCACAGTGGGTCAGAGTGCCCGTGCAGCTTCCTGCTGGTGTGTTCTGAGGTGCCACAGATGATGGCGCGGTGCTTGGGCCTCTGTCGCCCACATAAGAGACCTGAATGGCTCTGCATGGACCAGCACGTGGAAGGTGTCTCTTGGCTCTGTGTTTCACTTTGCATTTTAAGTAGAGGAAAATTATGAAAACCTTTTAGAATCAAAGTTATTCAACTAATTGATATTCTAGAAAAGGCAAAAAGCCAGTGGAAAGTTAAAAAAAAAAATCTGTGGTCACCAGAGGTTAGGGAGAAGGGTGCACTGGCAGGACACAGAGGGTTTTGGGGCAGTGGAGTTGTCCGGTGCCAGACTGTAGCAGCAGCAGAGCAGTGCCACCTAGACATTTGTCCAGACCCACTCAAGGGCAGGAGTGACTCCCGATGTGAACAGTGGCCTCCTGGTGGCGAGGCTGTGTCAGCGTGGTCTCTGTGCTGCCGATGGGAGAGGCCAGAGGCACAGGGGAAGTCTCTTTGCTTTCTGCCCAGCGTAGCTGTGAAGCTAAAACCACTGTTAAACTTTGTCTATATGTCAAAGGAGGAGGAAGAGTTCAGTGATGAGGGAAAGATGTGAGAGAACTATACACTGACCCTTTGGGCCACTCTCTCTCCATCCAGGCTCGTGAGTGGGATAGGGACAGCCTTTGGCCTGGTGGCTAAGGTGCTATGTGCCAGGTGTGAGTGCTGGGTGCAGTGTTGTGCTCTGGGTCCTGACTCCAGATTCCGGCCAGTGCAGAGCCTGGGAGGCAGCAGTTCATGGCTCAGGTGTCTGGATTCCTGCCACCTCTGAGGGGCACTTGAGTTGTCTTCTCAGCTCCTGGTATTTCCTCCCTGACAACTCCAGCCATTGCAGGCATTGCGTCTGGGGAGTGAACCAGGATTGAAGGTTTTTTTCTGTGTGTGAGTGTGTGTGTGTCTGTGTGTTTGTGTATGTGCACACGTGCTTTCCTGGCTCTCAAGAAATGAGTGAAAACTTAAAGATAAGAGATACTATGTCACCTGCAGCGAAAAGGAGCTGCCAGAACGGGATGACAAAGCCCAGCCCCTAGAGCCGGTCGTGCTTTGCCTAAAGGCTTCCTGGCAGCCAAGGCCAAACCGAATCCAGGGTCTTTAACTTTTCCCCTAGAAAGTATGGTTTAATCCAGCACAAATGCAAAACTACTGCTTGCAGAGCTTGGCATGGTCCCAGGAAAGGGAAAGGCTGTCAGATTAGTGAGAGTTTCCAGTGTGTTTGAGGGTCAGCCCTAGTGCCACGCTAAAATCCAGCCTACCTCAGCAGTCAGCGGAGCCTGCCTTCCGTGAGGTTCTCATTGTGCCCTGCAGCTTAGCAAGCAAACCGTACGTCATTCTCTGCTTACTGAGAATGATTCCTACTTCACTGGGGAGAAAACTGGGGAGCAGAGAGAGGCGAGGTGGCATACCTACGTTACCCCCACTTATGTGCTCTGTCTTGAAGCTTCTGTCCCTGCATTCCTTGGTAACAGTGTCCAGGACCCAGCCCGGCCAAGACAGCCATTTGGGAAATTTTGTTTGAATCTTATTACTAGATACTAGTAATCTTAGATACTAAGATACTAGATACTAGTAGTATGTAGTAATAAGACTCAAACAAAATTTCCCAAATTTTAAGACATTGCAAGTAATAGGTTATTCCTAGCCACAGTTATGATGTGAAAGAACTGCGGTGTCACTTGTTTGGCAAAATGTTTGTCTTCTCAGTTGTTAATGGGGGTGACGTCAGTGGAAACAGTAAATTGTCATGGCTTAACTGTTTGTATTCCCCTTTCCAGGCCGCAGTCGCACCCTCCAAGTGAACAGGTAACTGAGTGTCATTATGAAGTTCATTGTCCCGGGCCTGGCCAGGTCACAGGACAGCCGCGGTGGGCAGAGCGGGCAGGAGGTGAAGGAGGACGCTGCCGGGCACCGTCCCAATGGCGGGCCCCAGCAGTGGGCTGCCCCAAGTTGCTGCAAAAAGCAGCTCGGCTTTCAGCCACTTGCTGAGGGCACAGCAGTTCTCAACGTGAAATGACCTCTTGAGACCAAGAGAGCTCAATTGACTTCCCTGCCCTTCAGTGTTTGCTAACATAAAATGGGGAGAAACAACCCTTTTTGCTCACAGATAAATAAACAGACACAAAATTAGGAGAATAGTTGGAATGGAACAGTATGTGACAGTCCCTGAGAAGGACATTATATGCTACTCTGACTCCTGTCACCTATTGGGACATAAAATGATACCATCTTTCTATTCCTGATGGCAGGAGTGAGATAAAGGGAATAAGGCCATTGCTTTAAATAACAAATTAGATAGATATACCACCTTATTAACACAACTCTTAAGAATCCAGTAATTTTTCTGGCTCTTGTAATTTTTCTGGTAAAAATGTAAGGTTTTATTCCCGTGAAGGACATTGAAGCACAAAGGAATGCTGTTTCTAGGTAGTCTATAGTATGAGTGGATTAATTTTGTGGTCCCCACACCAGTGCATGTTGTGAAGCTGTGATGTTTGTGGCCCTGCGGGACGCTAACTGGCTCCCTGTGCTTTAGGATCAGCAGCTGCTCTCCGAAAAGCCTGGGCTGTGTCAGCTGTGCCAGGCGGATGGCGGCCTCACACAGGTAACTGCTGGGCACAAACGGGCTCCTTCCTGGGCACTCTGCTGCCTCTGCCGCCCCTTGCCAGGCATCCTGGGCACCAGAGAGAGCGCCAGGTGTGGTGCAGAGGGAGCTAGTGCTTATGTTAAGGTTAGTATGAAAAACCATAGACATAATTTGAAACAAGTAAGTATGTATAAATTTACAAATCAATAAGACATTTGTGGCATGCCTACTATGTAGGCTGCGCTTAGGAAAAGGATAGAAATGAAAATAGGTCATATCCCTTGTCTCGTAGACATTGTGTCCTGTATGCCTGTCATTTCTACTTAGGATTTATTTGAAAGGCTGTTACAGAGAGATCTTGCATGCACTGGATAAGTCCAAAGCCAGAGCCAGGAGCTTCTTCTGTGTGTCCCGCATGGGCGGCAGTGGCCCAGGGACTCGGCTGCCGGTTCTGCTCTCCCAGTGTATTTGCAGGGAGCTAGATCACTGGTGGAACAGTGAGGTCTCAGCCTGTGTGGGATACCAGGATCACAGGCAGCAGTTTCACCCACTGTGTCACAGCTCCAGCCCTCGGCGGGCGTGTGAAAGAGGGAGAGCCTTAGGTTCGGAGATGTTAAGCACATTTCCCAAAGCCACTCACATCTTTGAGCGATGGAGTCTGGTTTCCATCCTAATTTTTTTCCCTCCAGGAATCCTTCCTGCCCAGAACAGGGGAAGTGAACTCTCCCCAGTTAGGCCGCCGTTTGCCGCAGGGCTGAGTAGGGCTTGCCGCCTGAGCACCTTCCTAGGTTGTCTCCCTAGGGTGAGCAGAGTGAAGGAAGTGTCAAGAAAGAATGCATGTCCCACTGTGTCCTGCTGGAGCTATGTCTTATTGCAGTCTCCCGCAGCATCTAATCTGGGGCACACTTCATAGCAGACGCTCTGGAAGTGTGACAGACAAGTGAACTTGGGAAACAGGTGCTTGAGAGACACGAGGAACATGTGCAGGTTCAGGATTATAGCACACATGCTACCGTTTGTGATCCTGCTGCATTTTAATGAGCAGAACTGTAAGGGACCCCGTCTTAGGTTCGCACAAGCCAAAGACAGATGGACTGCCTTTATGGAACTGGGAGATGCAGCTGGAGAAATACGTTCCAAAGTAGAAGCAGCTGCTAATCAAATTCTGGTTTTTCCAAGCCATGTAAAGTAGCTTTAGTATGAGAGAGGGAAGTTCTTCTCAGGCCTTCGAGTTAGTGACCCACGGGGCTTTTGAGGATGCGGTATTATTTGGGGTGAACATAGCATTTCACGAGAGAAATGGTTCACAGCATTTTTAGATTTATATAACGTAGCTAAAAGGGAGAGCATGTATCTGCTCACTGGCTGACTTCCCAGAGGGCTGTAGGGCCAGAGACAGGCCCAGCTGAAGCCGGGAGCTCCATCCAGGTCTCACACTGTGGCAGGGCCCCAAGCACACGGGCCATCTGCTGCTTTCCAAGGCCCATTAGCAGGGAGCTGGACAGGATGCAAAGGATCTAGGTCTCCAACCAGCACTCCCTTGTCAGATGCCAGCTTCACATGTGGCAGCTTACCCTACTGCACCACGGGGCCCGGCCCTCTTCCATGCATCCATTTATACATACAACCATAGGGCTCTGTCAGCACAGAGCCTAGTGACCCTCACACGGACTTTGTCTTGAAGCCATGCTCCTGCTGCACTGATATCCCAAAGGCTGTGCCAACAGAACAGCCTAGGAAAGACTGATAAGTCATCAGTGTTTTAGGAATTGCACCTTCAGTTGATAGTCAACAAAAGTTTACATCCTAGCCTGCCCACCCAATGTATCGTGATGTCTCTGCCTTATTTGGAGCATGGACTGAAGGCTTGCAAACTAATTCTATAGACAGTCCATCTGTACCTTTTGAGTCCCAGCTGCTCCACTTCTGATCCAGCTCCCTGTTAATGCATCTGGAAAAGGAGTCGACGACCCAGGGGCTCGGGTCCTTGCACTCACATGGACACCCAGACAGAGGCTATCTGGGAGTGAGCCAGAAGATGGAAGATCTCTCTCCTCCTTCTATCTCTGCCTTTAATTTGTGATACAATGGGTTAAGCCACTATCTGCAATACTGACACCCATATGGGCCCTAATTGGAGTGCCATCTTCTCTGCTCCCAATGCAGCTCCCTGCTAACGTGCCTGGGAAAACATTGGAAGAGGGCCAAGTTGCTTGGGTGCATAAGCCCATGTGGGAGAGCTGCAAGAAACTCCAGGATTCAGGCTTCAGACTGGCACAGCCTGGCACTGCAACCATTCAGGGACCAAACCAGTAGATGGGAATCTCTCACTCTATCTTGTTCCCCTCCCCCAACTCTGCCTTTCAAATAAATAAAATATTAAAAAAACACAAAGTCGCCCATCAGACAGTGCATAGGGGAAGCCAAAGTGGGAAATACATCCCGAGGGTGAGTGATTGGTGAAGCGTGTGTTCTTTTGAATTCACTGGTACTGTTCCTTGCCTCCATTTAGAGCTGAGAACTAGACCGAGCCTTGCAGGTGAAGTCCGGGTGGGGTCCAGCCCTGAGGGCTGCGTGGGCGCTGCGCCTCTGCCACAGCTGGCCTTGACAGCCCACACATCCTGCCTTGCTGCTGTAGCTTTCCCAAGCTAACCTCCTCCTCCTCTTCCAGAACGTGTGCAAGAACTGCAGAGGGACTTTCTGTCATGCCTGTTCAAGTAAGGAACTGCCTCTCCCCTCGAGTATCAAGCCTGAGCGAGTTTGCAATTCCTGTCACAAGCTGCTGCTGAAGCAATATTCCACCAGCCCATCTTAAGACTGGAAGCCACGACCTGGACCAAAACATCCATGCAGGGCCACTCTGCCTAGGCTAGGCGTCAGGCTCTCCGGCAGCTTAGTCCATAGGATCAACCAGAGCTGACAGCATGATGGAAAGAATCCAGACCCAGGAGAGAAGGCAGCAGCCACTGGAGGTGCTCGGGATGTCCCCACAGCTGGATAAATAAACGTGACTCAGTTGAGCCTCTCTCTTCTAAATCTTAACAACCCCACTTTGGTAGCACATTTGGGGAGGGATATTTATTTTATGTTTTGAATAGTGAGGGGGTGGGGAGAATAACAGAGAAAGTCCAAGAAGATCATGATAAAAGGAAGATTATCATCTCCCTCTATTATACCTGCAGACCAAGGAGGGCAGGCAAATGCCAGTTAACATCTAGATGACAGACGACACCTGCTGTCTCAGGTGCTGCTAGGTGAAAGCCTTGTTTTCCTCTTTACCCCCACTAACTACCTCTTTATCTATCAAACTGTGAAACCAATCTCAGGGAAGAGAAAGTTAATATAAATTCTGAATGTAATAAAAGCAATAGATTAGGATTTGAGGACCACCATTTCCTGGTCTCGTCAGAACAACATCATCCATCATTGTTCCACATATTGAGTGCACAACGCGTGTGCTCCTCAGAATCGCATACCACAAACAAGTGGGCTCTGCTCCCCGCCCCCTCCCGAGTCACTGCGGACATTGTAAGGAGTTCTGCAGTTAGGGTTTCCCCTCACATAAGTGAAATACTGATTACAGAGAAAAGCTAAATCATTGAAAAATAAAATGAGCCAAATTGGTGGACTGCTGACAACATTGAGCACAATAGTAGATTGCTTTCTAAACAAGGAATTCCTTATGCTCTTCGGGGACACAGGATGATTCTCCAACATCTCTAAGACTCGTTAGTGGGGGAGGGAAAGCACGTTCAGCAAGCAAAGTGGGAAATCCTGTTGGGTTATGTTACACCTGCTGCATTGCTGATGCTGATAGGACCTGAGAAGAAATGAATGTCTGATGGTTTAGATTGCTGGGGTGGAAACATCCTGGCACCATGTTACTTGACAAATTCTGTCCCAGGTTACAGCCTGGCAAAGGATTTTATTCTTCCACAAGCTTTGCCTGTTACTTGGTAAAACTGCACGTTAAGAATACTAGGGAAAATAAAACCTAGTAATTCTCGTCTGGTTTGTTGTCTTTTATCATTTGTTTCTATCTGAAAGGCAGAGTGACAGAGAACTGAATAAACAGATCTTTCCCACAGAGGCCCACAGCATCAAAACTGAAGACACGAGCCAGGAACTTCATCTGGGAGCTGGGTGAGTATCAGGGAGCTGTCACCTGCTGCTTCCCAGAGTGCACAGTTGCAGGAAAGTGAATCAGGAGCAGAGGCGGGACTGGGCCCCACCTAAACGGGATGCAAGCTTCTCAAGCAACAGCGGAAACTTCTGCACAGCACCTGCCCAATCAGTCCTTTCCCTCTCCAATAATTTCGTGTCAGCTTTCATTCTTATTTGGCCACCTACATGATGCAATATATATATGAACAGAAATGGGGAAAATGGGGAAGTATATACTTTTTAAAAGCTGTAGTTCTGAGTAAAATGAAATATAATATGAGCTATAAGGAGAGATTCATCACTGGAGAATTTTTTAAGATTTTTTTTAATTGGAAAGGCAGATAAGATTTACATAGAGAAGGAAAGACAGAAATAGATCTTTCATTCACTGGTTCATTCCCCAAATGGCCACAACGGCCAGAGGTGAGCCAATCCAGAGCCAGGAGCCAGAGACTTCTAGGTCTCCCACGCGGGTGCAGGGTCCCAAGGCTGTGAGCCATCTTCTACTGCTTTCCCAGGCGCCTCAGGCAGAGAGCTGGATGGGAAGTGAAACAGCGGGGACATGAATTGGCCCCTTCACTGCAGCTGTTACTTGGAATTGCACATAGCTATTTCTATAGCTTTCACCATGTTTATAAACAAAAACACTGAGTATCTGTTGGTATAACCTTTCTCAAAACTAAAGTCCTAAGTCATGAATCACTTGGCTTAATATTATATATACATGATTTTCTAACATTCACCATAGCATCAAGAATGAAATACTGGGGCAAACATGGCATAGCAGATAACGCTACCACCTGTGATGCTGGCATTCCACTTGGGCACTGGTTGGCATTTTGGCTGTTCTGTTTCCCATTTAGCTTCCTGCTAATGGAGGAAAACCCAAAACACTTGGGCCCCTGCACCCTTGTGGGAGACCCAAAAGTTCCTGGCTTCTGTCTGTCCTGGTCCCACTCCTTGTGGACACTGGGGAGTGATTTATTGGAAAGCTCTTGCTGCATTTCCCTCTTTAATAAAGCTGCCTTTTAAATAGTTTTTTAAAGGGGAGGGGGCAGCGCAATTGCCTAGTGGCTAAAAGTCCTCACCTTGAATGCACTAGGCTTCCATATTGGCATCAGTTCATATCCTGGCTGCTGTATTTCCCCCTTCCAGCTCCCTGCTTGTGGCCTGGGAAAGCAGTAGAGGACGGCACAAAGCCTTGGGATCCTGCACCCGTGTAGGAAACCCAGGAGAGGCTCCTGCCTCCTGGCTTCAGATCACCTTAGCTCCACCAGGCATTGTGGCCACTTGGGGAATGAAGCAGCAGATGGAATAGCTTATCTTTCTGGTTCTCCTTCTCTCTCTCTCTGTAAATCTGACTTTCCAATAAAAAATAAATACATCTTTTAAAAATTAAGAAGGCACATACATAACTAAAGAGGCAAAAGTTCACTAAGAACTGTTAAATACTGCCTGTGAAATTAAGAGCAAGTTCCATGGACTGGAAGACTCGACGTTTGTGAGGATGTCAGCATTACCCAGAGCAACCTACCGAGTGAATGCAGTTGTTATTTCCCAACATTTTCCCTAATTTTTATATAAAAGGGATTTCAAGGGATGCCTCTCTACTCCAAATAGTCAACCTTGGAAAACAAAACACTGGAGGCATCCTGTTTCCAGTCTCAGATCTTACCACAAGGGTGCGATTGCCAAAATTGGCCTAAAGACAGACTGATGTGGAATAGAGCCTAGAAATAAATCTTCCCATATATTGCTAAGTGGTTTGTTTTTGATAAAAACTCAAAATCATTCAGGAGATAAAGAACAAATTGTGTTAGAAATTGGGTATCTGCAAGAAATTGTACCCCTTCCTCTGTGCTCAAGATGGCCCAAGACCTTCACCAGGAGGATCTATAAAACCCAGAATAAGACTAAATCATGTTGCATATGTCAGATTTCTTAGATACCAACAAAAGCCTTGCCATAAAAAAAAAAAAAACCTGAACGTCAGCAAAATTTAACTTTACCAGAGGACGTCAGTAGCAATGTCCAACGGCAGCCCAAAATATGGAAATCAAATGTTTGATAAGAGATTGATGCCAAGAATGTATAAAGATGCCCTGCACACAACAAAAAGCCAGCTGTTGCATTGGGTAAAGTGCTTGGCCATTCACATCTTCCAAGGCAGAAATGTCCAGTAAAGCACAACTCAGTATCGCTAGTCGTCAAGGAAGTGCAAACCAGAACTACAATTGTATACCATTTGATCACTGTGACTACTACCCCAAAACAAGAGAAGTGTGTGATTTCCGGGGAAATGTAAAATGGTACAACAGCTGTAAAAGGATGGTGATGTGGAATTACAGTACATTCCATCAAGTGCATTTCTGGGTTTGTACCCAGAACCACTGGAAGGAGGTAAAGACCACATGTAGCTGGGAAAGCCACCACCCAAGACACTGGCATGCCGCAGAGGCATCATCAGCACATGTCCTAGCAGCTCCATTTTTTAAGATTTATATTTATTGCAAAGTTAGATATACAGAGAGGAGAGACAAGATCTCCCTATGATTCACTCCCCAAGTGACCACAACAGCCAAAGCTGTTTCCAGGTCTCCCACACGGGTGCAGAGTCCCAAGGCTTTGGGCCATCCTCGATTGCTTTCCCAGGCCACAAACAGAGTGGGATATAAAGCAGGGCTGCCAGGATTAGAACCAGCACCCATATGAGATCCCAGTATGTTCAAGGTGAAGACTTTAGCCACTAGGCTACCACACCAGGCCCTATCTGCTCCATTTTTAATCTAGATCTCTGGGAAAACAGTGGAAGATAGTCTGTTTGGTCCCCTGCCACGCATGTGGGAAACCCACATGAACTTCTAATTTTGACCCAATTCAACTCTAGCCTGTGTAATCATCTTCAGAGTGAACCAGCAGATAAAAGGTCTGTCTCTACCCCTCTCTGTAACTTTCAAATAAAGAAAAATCTAGAATTCCTTCTGATATGTAGACACCTGTGTTGATAGAACTATTCACAAGTCAAAAGGTGAAAACAAGCTAAATGCCCACGAGTGGATGGGTAAACAGGAAATTGTGACATGCTCAACCTTGAGGAAGTTACACAATGATTTCCAATCCTGTTTATATGAAGTGGCTGTGATGGTCAGAAGGTTAAAGAGTGGCTGCCGGGGCTCAGGGCGGAGGAGGGAAGAGCTGATGTTTAGTGGCTGCATAGTTTCCATTTGGGGAGATGGAAAAAGTATGGTAATAGATGGTGGTGGTTGTGGCACAGTAATGTGCAATGAGTATATTTAATGCCACAGACGTGTGCACAGAAAGGTGAATGTTTTATGCATATTTTATCCAAGTTTCTGAAAATGCTTTCTAGGTGGATGCAAAGTAAGTACCTACACAGATTTCCCACACAGTCAGCTGGCAGAGTAAGGCAGCAGACACCCCAGTAGCAAAGGGCATGCCCAATACCAAGATCTTGTTTAGAATACTCGGACATGTTCTGCAGACACATCTAAGGGACACGAGCCAACTGCAGGAACTCCTGGAGCTCAAAGCATGTGAGCATTGAAGCAGTGTGGCATTGAGGATGTAATCCGAGGTTCTAAGCATGGGGGGGGGTATTAATGAATAAGTAGACTGAAGGGTGCCGTGTCTTTTGGACAGGAACACTTCTTATAATTGAGTCCTTTTCAGGGAGGTGAGGCCTAACTGCCCACACAGTGCATGCTGTGCTTGGAAACCAGTTTCAAAGGGCTAGAATACGGAAGGAGAAAAAAGTTAACTTTATGGTTTCCCAGCAAACCCTTTTGGGCTGTGTGACCCAAATTGGCCTCATCAGTATATCCTGCTGACAGTGCATGCCCTTTGTGGTCTTCTGCCAAAATCCAAGCACTGTGTAACCAGCAGAGAAACCTCAGAAAGCCAACTTGAAGGATGTGCTAGGAGACATTAGCAGTGCGTCAAGAACAAACCAGAATCTGCTCCTCAAAGCGAAGGAGACACTCTAGCTAAGAGTGCTCATGTGGGAATCTGGAATGGGAAGGCTATAAGGGAAAAACAAAGAAAAACGGAAATGTGGGATATAATTGATACCAAGGTACCAAGATTGTAGTAACGTGCTAAATAAAGCAAAAGTATTATTTGGGAATTTTGTCTCTGTAACAGTTCTGTGTGTCTAAATTTTTTTTTTTTTGATTGAAGAATTGTGCCTTCATGCT